AAAAAAAAAAAAAAAAAAAAGAAAAAACCACCCAGCAACGTTTTACCTATACTTTCTGCTAGAAACCGTATTAAAATACATGAAATCGTTTGAAATACAAAAAGAAAAAAATCTTCCTTGAAATAATTACAAAGGCAAAGTAAGAACGCCGAGTCTTTATTTCATTCTTCCATCTATCGTCGCGATAATTCTTCGTATCGTCTAAGAAAAAGAGAGATAGAGAGAGATTATTCTTCTGTCGGAGGACGATAATTATCGCGAACAGAGGTGAAATAAATTCTAGTCTTTTTTATTGTCTTTGGTGGCAGAGTAATAAGAGAACGAAACGTTTGAACGGTGAGAGAGAGAGAGAGAGAGAGAGAGAGAGAGAGAGAAAGGAACGAAGGGGTGAGACGCTCCTCGAGTCGAGAACGATCGCAGTTATTCTGATTATTTTTGTACCGTGTACATATTATAGGGGTAGGCGAGGAGACGATTAATTACCCGGGGCCAGGATGAAAGCTCGGAAGCTTTTTCTACGTCGTTCGTACGTATTTCCTACCCTTCGTCGGTTTTTTAACTTAACGTTCCTTTCCATGGTCGCCGTGGCCTCTCTGTATAAACGGTATAATAAAACTGGGGAAGATGAGATCGCCGACGAACACGGTCGATACTCGCCGTTGCGTTCAAACGAGTGCCGGTCGTCGTTTACCCTGTTATTTAGTCGCGATTTACTCTTATTATTATTATTATTATTATTATTATTATTATTATTATTATTATATGATTATTAGATTTGTATGTAGCAAACATTGTGCGTTGATTTATTAATGATTTAGAATTAATTCAAGAGACGCGAGGAACAACGTGTCTCTCCGATGATTTTGTAATCCGGAGAAGTTCGGTGGAAGTTGAAGAAGTTGGTGAGAATTAGAGAGAAAGAGACTAACGACAGATAGGTCGTTAGTCGATTGGTCTGACCTTGAACTTGGAAAAAGTATTACGTTTGAGAAGCAATAGTTACGTATTATAAGTAGGTTGATTGTGTGTGGTGATTGCGAGATTGGTAATCGATGTGTAACGTTGCGTATTTACGATTAGTTTAGAAGACTTAGTGTCCTTGCGAGTATTATTTTCATTCACGCGTGACGTTTAGCTCGAAATTATATTTTTGATATGTCGAACGTATTTATTGATTTCTAGTTGGCGTTTACGAGGTCTCGCGACCTTAGTAGTATTTATTAATTTTTATTTAAATAAAGAAAATTTTCCTTTTCTTTCGTGAAAAATTGTTTCTTTATTCTGTTCACCGTTGTGCGTGACAGTTTCTTTTTTTGTCTTCTGTTTCTTTCCCCCCTCAGTGAGAATCAATACCATTTATTTCCATGTTTTTCATCCGTTCCTTTTTATATCCACGATGAACACGACATTGAGAGTTGCATTCATTTATTGAAAGTAAAATTCAGTTGGTCCAAGTGTCTGCGAAACCATTTGCACGGATGTTTGAACGATTTTTAGACTTCGTTTGTACAACAGAATGTGAAATTTTCAGGAAACGTGACCATGTAATCGTAATAAATAAAATGTTCGCTTTGTAAATTCATGTGACCGTGCGTACGCTACGCTGAAAATCCATTTCTGCGTGTCGTCTTTCACGGCAAGAGCCGCGAGAAAACTTATTTTCGTTTTACGAGCTATAACTCTTGAGAAAATGAACATCTGTCTACCGGGGATGTGTATTCAAGTTTTTAAGAGAAGTAGATGCTCATTCACGGAGATTGTACTTACGTACAAGCGCCTCGCGTTTTCATCATTAAAAGACGAAGGAGCGTGCAACAAATATTTGTCGTGATGATTACGTGCAGAAAAGTAACACAGCAGTGAAGATAAATTCAATTATTTTGAACAGTTTTGAGAAGTAATAAAAAAAAAAAAAAGAAAATAGCGTAAAAATATTTCGCTTTCACTCTGAGGTTACTGTGTTTGTGTAATTACTTTGAAAGCAAATAACGATGCAATTTCGAAAAAGTGATAAATGAATTTCAACGTGTAGTGAAAATATTCGTACAGATACACACAGAGTGTAAATATTTGGAAAATAACGAGTGATATCATTCCGGGACGTAAATTTCGACAAAAAAAAAATAAAATGTTCAGACAGTCATACAAATAAAAGTATTTTACCCTACTCTGGAACTTACTGTATCTCGCGTGATTATGTTAGAAGTGAATAACAATAGGTACAATTTCGAAAAGTAATTCGAATATCTAGCAAAAATATTCGTATAAACATTTATTTATTTATTGGATCGTGATTCCAAAGTTGCTATAATTGTGCAAATATTTCGAAAGTAAATAACGATATCATTTAAAATAACAGGTCAATTTCAATAAAAAAAAAAAAAAAAAATGGAACGTTCAAACATGGTATTAAAATTTGTTTTTTTACCTTACTCTGAAGTTATTTTAGGAGCAAATAATTTCGAAAAGTAAACAAACAAATTTCAGCAGATAGCAACCAAAAAGATAACCGCACCGCGCGATTCTTTTTCACGGATCGCTGTACAGTTTTTAATTCAAAGAACGTAAGTAGTAGTTTCGAATTTGAAACGACGACGATGGCGGCTAGCTGCTATCGAGAGTCTCTAAAATTTCGCAGAAGTTCAAACAACCGGAAGTACGTGCATATATCCCAGGAACTTGAATTACAGACCTTGGACGAAAAGTTGAGAGTGGTTTCGAAGCGAAAAGTTCACGGTCTCGCCAACTCGTTCGTATCTTGCCACTGACACGTATTTAATCATCTGGCTGGTTCTGCATTCACGTGCACGTACGTGTGTATAGGCGACGCGGGTTAGATCGTGCGAATGCAGAGAAAATGTCGAAGTGAACGCGTTGAATACGAATATACATGTATCAACTATCGGATCAGTCTTCATCGCCGTTTGACAGGTGTCTAAGAATGTTGGGAAAAGTTTTGGAATGGAATCTCCTTATTCATATTTATATCGTCGCAGTGTGAAATTTGTTCAATATCGTCGTAGTCTGTTGTTGAATAAATGAATTCTCTCTTCCCTTTGAAATGATCGGACGTTGTTTTATAGAGATTCTCGAACGCAGAAATGTATCAGATTGGCAAGCGGCTGTGAAAATTCGATTGATTGAACAGATGTTGTTGTTCTGTATTAAGATATATTTAATTAAATTGTAAAGCTGAAATTGATTAACATACACAATAGAAATTGGTTGACATGTAAAACCTGTATGAACAATATTGAATATTGGATAAATTTGATGAAACAGAAGAAAGCAACTTACTTGTGTGAAGTATGAGCATGTTTGATTTTGAAATTAACTTGTCAACGAGAAGACAAGTGTGTAGCAACGAAATTCGGTAATTGAGAGAGGCGTAGGAGTTTCGAAAGATCTACTTTGAAGTATCGTTGTCAACCGTTCCACTGTTTGTACGTGAAATGTATGTTAATTTCAGAATTAAAATTTAAAAAATAGATTATTCAATGTAAATTGGAGATGAAACGTCGAATGCTACTCGAATCTTAAGGAATTAATTGGTCTAAATACAAGAAATTCTCCTTTTCTCTTAATTGGCTCGACTTTATCAGTTATATTACAGGCGATAACACTACGTCATTAGTCTGTGGTCGTTAACGCGTTAAATTAGAAAATCGATAGGCTCCTTGAAGATCGGCTCCTCGGTTCTCTCCCTCTTCGTACCTAGTTGTAGAGAAA